TATCTTATCATAGTCTTATGACTAAATGAGCGTGAACTACAATGTAGCTTTTTGTGACCAGAGACTATTTTCAAAGGTATCTTAAAAAAAAAAAAAAAAAGAAAAATCTTTTCAGATCAAGATAAATGTAGAGAGGCAAATGCAAACAGTGAGAACTGAACTAGTGTTCTTAATATTTCTCTCTTCTATAAATTAAACCTTTGCTTTCAGATACTGTCATTCTGGCAGATGACTTTTATAAATACTTTAGATTTCAAAAGTCACTCAAAATTAACGCTCATTTATACTTGTGTAGAAATGGTCAAAGCATTTTGTCCTGTAAAGTATAGCATCTTATTTATTGCCCAAAGAGGCTGTGAAATCTCCAGCCTTGGAAGTACTCAAGCCACCTGGACCTGGTCTTGTGCAGCCTGCTCTACATGACCTTCCTTGAGTTGGGTAAGGGGTTGGATGAATGTCCTCCAGAGGTCCCTGTCGACCCCAGCCACTCTGTGATTTTGCAAATTTAGAGTCTTCAGTGCATTTTGGTAGAGGCTTATATGTTATTTAAACTCAAGCCAAATGTAGAAATGTTTAAGCAGTCTAGATATTAAGGCTGTTACTTCAGTCCTCCAACAGTATTTTGGCCCTTGTCTGCATTCTCTGATATTTTTTCAGCTACCTTTAAGTTTTTGGGGCTTGTAAGTGGTACTCTTATTGCAGACCATCAGTGCAACGTCCAGAAATAAACACTTTCATGCTTTTATTCCCCTCGATATGTGAGCCAGAGCCACGCTGAGAGTTAATATTGTTTATCAGCTATAATCCTGAGACCCATTTCTAATTTCTACTGCACGCTGAGTTAGAGTCCTCTCTCTGACATACAGTTTGATATGAGGCTGCATTTTGATAATCATTAAACAGTCAGATGGATCCACTGTATCTAAACAATCCACATCCTTCTGCATGGCTGCACTGACTTTGTTCTTATTTATAACTCTGCAGGGTCTTGTGCTAACCACAGATTTTTATCAGTGTTTTAGTTTTATTTCCAGATCTTTATTTAAAAAACATATATCATCTCTCAGCCAATGAAGACTGCCTTGTAGGTGCTCCCATACAGTAATGAATCCCCACGGATGGTGGCTGGGATTAATCCCAATCAACATGCATTCTGTTAGCACAAGATTATTTGATGTTTTCTCTGATGGGTTACCAATTATGCATGTGTATGTAGTACCCAGTTTGTAATGCTGAGGGTTTTTACATGATCTTGGACTGTGTGCTTGTGAACGCTATTGTAGTGCTACCCAAACTATGAATAACACAAAATCAGAATACCTGAAAGCTAGTGTGCTAGCTAGAATTCAGATAAAAAAAAATATACTTTAAATGAGCAATTTCTATAAGTTTTTAATGTTTTAGCTCTTTTCAGTTCTTTTTTTATAAAGCCCTAAAATGGATAGAATTTTTTTGGGATGTATATTAAATAAAATACAATCTTCCCTAAAGAATAAGCCATTGAACAAGCACAACTTATATACTCAATGTGTTGGCTATGTTTAAGTATTGAGACAGACTCTGGTGGAGCCACTTTATGTTTTCTTCTTTTTCTAACTGCATCACTTCCAAATAGATGCTCCACTTAACATAATTTTTGAACTTTTCCTCCCACTCCGCAGTGGTTCATCCAAATTCGTATCATGTATCATACCATATAATTTTTTTCTCCTACAACCTCTGTCTAATGCGTTTCTTCCTCACTAATGCAAATCAGAGGTTCAGAAGTCATAAATTAAATAAGAGGTGTTTGAGGTTCTGCATAACCATATTCAGATGCTAGTGGGTAAATATTAAATCTCTATTCTGCATCTGGACTATACTTGGAAAGGCAGCGCATGTTTCATTTCATCTGGCATGGTAAATGCTCCCTGGAACAAATAGCTCTTAAAACACATTTTTGGTAATACCTTTCCCATCATTTCATGAGGCATGCGAGACCCTTTGGAAGAAAGGATGAGTGATTTGCAGAGTGGAGATGATTCCAGTAATGGATGACAAATGGTGAAGAAAGATAGTTGGATAGCCTGGGCTTGAAATTTTGTAAAAGGATGTAATTGGTTACTGGTTGTTGCATCATGCTCATTTCCAAAACTGCAGTCTGTGGAGACTTGGTGTAGCATTTGCCTACACCCTTCTTTTATTTCAGTAAAAAAGCAGATACCCTTGTATCTGCATTTGTATCGGTGTACAGTTTGGCAACGGAGTGATCCCTGAAGGAAATTTGCTGTGAAGTACTGGTCAACCACAACTAATGCCTTCTTCCAGAAATCTTGCTGTGGTTATAAGAAAAGTAGTGCTTTCTACTAGCTCTGTCTGGCAAGGTGTCCTGGCTTTAATAACGATAAATAGTGGGTGTCTGAAGGGAGAGCATAAGAAACGCATATAAAGAGTTGTCCTCCTTCCCCACCTTTCTGCCAACATCTGTGAGCAGGTGGCTGCATCGCATTTAATAGTCCTCTGTGGTCCTGTCCTCTGTGGATTTATCTAATCTTCTTTCTAATCCATCTGCATTCTTGGCATTTCCTACATCCTGTGACATTGAGTTCGGCAGTTTTGTCATAGAATATGGGATTTAATAACATGATGAATAGTTCAGCAAATACTACAGGAATAGACAATTCACTTGCTAGCTTTCTTATCAGTTCATCTCCTTTAACAAAGTAGGCCTGCTCTCTCATTCTTTCTGCTTAGTCCTTGTAATTTTGGAATTCTGTAACAACTGTAGACACAGGGTAACAAAGACTGTGCTGCATCATTCTGGATCCTCTGTCACACAGCAATGAGTCCCATTACTGCAGTAAGAATTCTTTACCATCCTCTCAATTATTGAGAATATGGGGGGAGGTAGGGAGGGACAGCAGATTTTCATTATAAGAATAAAACCAACACTCTATGGGCATACAGGAACATGTGAACTTCGCAGCAAGGCAGTGAAGTTTCTTGTTTAACACAGTAACTTGAAATAAAAATACATGGTATGCAGATGAACATTGAAATTGCTCATTCTGTTGTGTGACGTCCTTACCTTGCATGGATTAGTCCTGTGTACGTGAATTATTCTTCCACACCACCTATATACAGAATATACCACCAATTAATTAATTCTGACCATCTAATCTGACCACCTTCTAACATCTAATGCATGTTTTTGTGATGGAGGACTTGGCACAATGGACTTGTGTTTATACTTAAAATTAGATTGCCACTTTAAAATCCACCACTCCTTTTAAATTAAAATGCTGTGTTAGCTGAGCAAAGATTTTTAGCTCCCGTGAGCCTGTTAGACAGGTTTATCACTGTGTCTGTTTCAGGTGATGACTTGTAATCTTGGTGAGCAATGCCATGGACAGTGTTTGTCTCTGCAGGGCCTGAGGCACTGGGGGATCTCTTACAGGCACTGCTCCTGGTGATTCTTCTTTTCCCCTCTGACTGAACACTGCAAATTTAACATAAAGGTTTGCACCGGTAGTGTTATTTGTGCTAGGAATTTGTGTACATTAATAGGCAGTAGAATTATGTGTTAAGCCAATATCCTTGGGTTAAACTATTTTCTCTTATCATCCTCCCTCATAGTCATCTTGCTCTTGTGGTTGCTTCCCAGCATCAAGAGGTCAGACAAAAGCGTTTCCAGGCATAGTTAATTTATACTGCAATTGAAATAACCTTTTTGGCCTGTACCAAAAACCAGCCAAGGATCACATAAACTGAGAAGTCTGCTGGAAACTCCTCTCCTGACCTCAACAATTGCTCGTCAACAGGGATTATGCCTGTGTTTGCTTTCTCAGAGAACTAGAGCTCTTACTGGTTTTGATCGGAACTATTAAGTATGAGGCTGGAAGAGGGATGAGGAAGAAGGTGTTACGGTATCTATCTTAGAAAGTTTGTGTGACTGACATACAAATAAGTTGCAAGAGCTGAATGTCTGCTCCTTGGAAAGAAATAGGAACTGTTGGCAGATCATTGCTCTGAGACTCAAAGGACACGGAAACTAAAGAGGATGACGAACAGGTTCAGTATCCCAGAAGAAAACTTTAGCAATGCGTACCAAAATGTGCATTTGTTTCTTTTAAGCTTTGAGATGAGTGTGCCATAATAAGGAGCTATTCTGTGTAACCAGAAGAATTTTCCATTGCTGCTTTTTGGTTTTCATACTGAACTGTGTTTCCATTGTTTGGATGCTTTTGCCTTTTTTAGTTTAGACTTGTCATGGCTGACCAGAGCTTACGCGACCTAACTCTGTACCCACCTCCAAGGCACAGCAGTCCTTCTTAACATCATGTCCTGTCTTTCACAGAGGTCTCCTTTCTGCCTTTTCCAGTTACTTTTGCCCAAGATAATCCAAGAGTGCTTTTAAAAAATCAGATGTGAAGCTGTTGTCTTATATTGCCAGACTGCTGGTTGTTCACAAAGTATGTCTGTCACTAAATGATGGTTATCCTGAAAAATGGTGACTGAGAAACAGCTGAAGAAAACAGAAAGCAAATCTGGCAATGTGGCAGGGATCCATTAGCAAGGGCCCATGTATCTTCAGTCAAGATAAACAAATTCTGCTTTTCAGTGTACAGCTTAGAAAGACAAAAACTGTTGTGATAGGTTTTTTATTTATTGGCTGAAAATAATTATTACACACTCTATCTGAAACGTCCTTTTGGTTTAAAAGGAAGAAAAAAACCAACCCAATGTACATAATTTATTGATCTGGATAGCGCTTAGCTAGCATTTGTGGGTCTCAATGTGTGTCAGAGGACACATTCAGAGGGCAGAACAAGCAACTTAAATCTGTTCTGAAGCTTTTGTTAAACATTTTCTCTATGTTGTTTCTGTACTTTGAAAGGCATGGCAGTTCTTCAGCCAGATATGATGTTAAGATACAGAATCATGAGAAATAAGTTGTGGAATGATCCTGCAGTAAAGAGTCATTATAATATAAATGTATAACCGTGTCAGTTACCAACATGAAGTCTTAAAAGCCAGGTGAACTTTATCAGTCTTCAAAAATGTGACCCTTTGCTCTCCTCTTAGTGGGAAGGTATGGTTTGTTTGTCTCAGTTTAGGTGAAAGTGCTTTTGACTCCAGCTGTATTAAGAAACTATCTTGTAGGTGCCTGTGGAAGGGTGCTCTAATGTCTGGGCTACATTTCAATGTGCATATTCCTGGAACTTAAAAATATTGAAATACATTTTATTTAAAATTTAAAAGAAAAATATTACTGAAGCTCAACATAGTTTACTTTTTAAGCAGCCTTTTATGTAGATGATGTTCTCAAACTGTGAATGTGAGTGGCCAAAAAATTTGAGGGCAAACTATGAAAATTCTGGCATAGCTGCCAGTTTGGGTAAAATTTTTGTATTTATGATACAAAGGATTGAGGGAGTTACCTCTATATAGAGTGTTTACTTGATCTGAAAAAATAAGCTTTAATGCAGCAATGGTGGAGGGCCTCATACATTACTATAAATTGTAGCCTTTAGAAATGCTACTAGGGTCTTACATTGCAGGTCTTCAATTAATGAATGTGGATTTTATACTGTCAGTTGGCTCATGAGTTTTCTTTTACTGACAGCATAGTACATACCATTCTGTGGTTGCAAGGAGGCTTCACTGTTTCCTGAGAGAGGTCAGAAACAAAAAGTTACAAGTCTTGCTCTTTTCAGCCACTACCAAGCATAATCAGCATGCAGTGTTAGATTGTAATTGCAGTAGATTGTAATTGCTTGCTGTAATTGCAGTAGAGTGTTTGCTGGCATGAAGAGTGAGCCAGAGAGGCTGGATTTAAAATTCTGTTGGAAAGAAAAAGAAGGATTTCATGATATATATAAAAAACAAGCAACCAGATGGCCTTTTAATTGTTCAAATAATAAGCATTTTATTGTAGAGGATTAAAATATTAAAAAATATGCTATATCTTTAAAGGCTGATAAAAACAAATACTCGTACTAGAGAAGAAGTCATAACCTCAAAGTCCTGTTACTTTTCTTTATAATAGTGTGGTTTCTGCCTTAGGACTTTTTCTAATTGAGACCACGTTGGGAAGATCCTTGGAGATTCATGAGGCATCATGAATCTTGTGGATTCAAAGATGAGATATGTATAGCTATTTTGAGTTGCAAATGGCATTTTTTGTTCAAGCAGGAAGGACAACTTGCACCCATTAGAAAAAAAATAATAGTAAAACTACACTGCATAGGGTTTCAGTTCTAAGATCTTGTAATTACATACCTTTGTGTCAATATTTTGCATTTGTCTTTTCTCTTGCTAAGACAGTGGTGGTTTGATGAAAAAAAAAAACCACAAAAAACAAAAACAACCGTTAATGGTGCACACTTTTGCCTTGTATCTGCTCTCTGTGCAGTTATTCATAAGACCCTCTTCTGTTCCTACTTTCTCTGCTTTAGTGTGAACAGTCCCACCTAATGAGAGAACATGAAGACGTGCAGGAGCGAACAACACTACGCTACGAGGAACGAATCACAGAGCTGCACAGTATCATTGCTGAATTAAATAAGAAAATTGATCGGCTACAGGGAACAACAATAAGGTACAGCAACTTCCTGGAAATTCTGGGCCGATGCAAGAATGGTGCAAAATATGGTGTGAATTATACTCTAAATATAATTTGATTATGACTTTAAGGTAATTAGGCTTACTGTGATTGGTACTGAGTAGCTGCCCATAATTAAAGTATGTGTTATGGAGAGTATCATCCTGAGGCTCGAAAGTGCTACATTCTCTATGGCAAAATCACACTTTGCAAAGCCTAATGAGCACTGCAAAGAACTGCACTGTGCCATCTAAATATTCCTTTAGTGTTGTCACAACTACTCACTTAACCTTTACATGAAAAGATTTATGTGCCAAAAAGAAAAGGGTTGGTGTACCACAAATAAGAGAAAGTATCATCATGCATATATAAGCAGTGATAGAATCACATTATGTTAATGTTATTTAAGAAGATAAATAGTGCCAGCTCTGAGATTATCATAACTAGCGATGATCATGGTGAAATTTTCCAGGAAGTATTTTCTAAACTGTTAGTACTTCTCTGAAAAAATCCCTGTGACTTCCTTGTTCATTCGTGCTTGATAAGTCTGTAGACAAACTTCCCATTCATCTTTGTTTCAAGTCCCCTGTCTTTTCAGCATGCTACTGACTGCCCATCTTGCCTTTCTCTCTGGTGAAGCTCCACCAGTTGTAAAGACTGGTTGAAAAGCAAAATCTGAGAAGCATGAGAGCTGCATTTATTTGTTTGTTTGTTCATTTATTGGCAGAAGAACTCTAAGACGTTGAAGAAAAATATTATGTAGAATCTATAGAAGTTGCTTGTTTGGAGTGCCTGTGGCAAGCTAAATGCCAATTGGTGTTCATTTACAAAATACTGGAATCTGATGGACACTGTGAATGTTTAACCACGTCCATAAAGAGGTCAGCTGTGACAAGCACAGGAAGAAGAGGCATGAGCTTGAGCCTGATGGGAAGTGCAGTTTTGCTGCCCCTTTGGGTAGTGCAGGCTTTTGAAGGCATCAGAACAGTACTGCTGCAAGAGATGCCACGCCAATGTCAGGCCCAACCTGTTTGGTGTTTTTGTATGAGAGCTTGATTTGTTCAGATGGGTAGGATGCCTTCTCTGTTTTCACTTGCTCTGATTTTATTAGTAAGAACAAAAATAACTTTATAAAAAGTTAGTGGATTTTTTTATTTCCTCTGATGATTGGAATAGCTCATTAGCAGGTGGATAATTTGGTGTCTGGGGAACAGAGAAGTAATATTGCTCCGAAAAATGGCAAGCCGAGGTAGAACTGGGAGGGGGGGGATTCCATATGGTTCGTAAAGACAACTGAAAGATGGAAAACTGGTACTTCCTGCTGTGACTTTGGGTAGATCTGCTCTGGGATTGCCTTGCGTGGCTCCGAAGAAGCTGTTCCATCCCGTGGAGCCGGGGTGGTGTAACTGCCATCATTGCTGGGTCAGGTGTGACTCACAGTGCTCCTCCCTTGGCTATGGGGCTGGAACCCAGCACTCCTGGGAGGCAGCAGGGTTCTGGGAGCACGGCCCTGCTGGAACCACGGCATCTACACTCACCCCTATAAACCAGGACACGGGAGGGATTCTAGTTTTGATCTGACTCAGTATTACCTGCGAGTAATACTGAGTGGAGGCTTTACTTGTACTATCACAATGTTTAGACTCTCTTTCTGGAAACAGTTTCCTTGAGTTTGCATTAACTGCATAACAGATGAATGTTTCTCCCCCACCCCGTGCTGACACAGGGATTGTTTAGTATTTTCATGTGTTGTTTTTAGGCTGTAAAAATAAACTAGTGTGTAGCTTGATGTACTGCTGCTTTATGACATTCTTCATGATTCCTTCCAAAATCCAAAAATATTCCAGAAACAATTGGAAGAAACTGGAGTTTCACAGAGGATATTTGACTATCCTCCATAAGATGTATTATCTTTAAATTTGTAGCTTTGTGTTTCAATGTGAGTAGTACTGGCAGAAAGTAGGGCAGAAAGTAAGCAGAGTGTTTCAATCTGAATAAGCTATTGCAACAGTTTGAGGAGTGTTGGCAGGCTGTATAAGCTAGTTAATATTCTCCATTCCAATAATTTTTCTCTCTTTGTTTTTTAGTAGGTCTGTTTCTTTGTTTTGGGTGCTTTTTGGTTTTGTTTTTGGATTGATTTCTCTTTTTTTGGCCCTTGCAATGTCAGGATTTTTACACAGCTTGAAGTGTAATGACTTTTGCTCGTGTGGTCTAGTAATGCCAGCTCTAGAAGAGAGCTTAAGTCGCCATCAAAGCCTGTGCCTCTTTCCAGGTATATCTGATATGCTGATCTGAGTAATCTTACAGGAGTATTTTTAGAAGTTTCTGGGATTGTTCTCGGTTTGCTATCGATTTTGGGGGTACAACAAGTTCCATGTGTGTGGCCACATGAAGTTAGCTGCTGCTCTTGTGCTACGTTCTTCCAGCGTTCCCTAAGGAAAATGAGGTCATCATGGTTGTGGGAGCAAGCCAACATTCATCTGCAGTTGTCTCATCTCCCTGCTGCTGCTCTGGACAGCCCAGCTGGTTTGGAAGCCCAACCTCAATGAAAAAAAAAAAAAGCTGAACTACAGCTGTAACTGACTTGATATTAAGGCTAAAAAGAGAGTTAGAGAGTTGCTTCTACTGATACTGTGCAAGTAGATAAGCCTCTTGCTTGCCTGGTTCTTCAGAATTTTCCCACTATCAGCTCAAGAAGGTAGCAGTCTGGGAGCAAAAAAACACTAAAGAAGTGGTCCGCTAGGTTGAGGATGCTTTTTTTAATTTGAGCATTCTGGAGACATAAACCTTGTCTCTGTTTATTCTTTGAAAATTATAATTGTGTGACAGTGTCTCACTGTTCTTGTTTACAGTATCAAGGGGAGAGTGGGAGGAGGTGGCTAGTATTTTGCTGAAGTTCATCATAAAACTCAAGTCACCGCCTTTAGTCAAACTCTGCAAGACTGTTGAGCAGAAGAGCCCACGACGACTGTGCAGAGCACATTTTGTCAGCTTCTTTCGGAGTGAGCAGCTTTCATTGAGTGGTCCTAACTTGGGGTTCCTGTTAGCATGCCAAATGGATGCCAGTGGCAGTGTTACCTCTACTTTGCTGTTTCAATTTGTGGAAGTAAAATTTTTTTGCATTACAAAGGTTCTGTGTCCTTTGACAAGGTGTATGCTTACTCCCATTTTCTCTCCCAAGTGTGTATAACTTAGAAGACAGCAAAGCCAATCAAATGGATCTTCCCAGTTGTAGTCATTTTGTCAATACTTGGACATAACAGATATGTCTGATAGCTCTGAAGCACAGAAAGGATTTATAAATTACACAGTAATGTACTAAAAGGGAATTATGTCTACATTAAAGGTGAATATTCCTGACTTAGGAAGTTTTTCATATTGCCTTGGATTCTTTCAAACTCAGCTCTTTTCTTCTTAATCAGGTCTTTGGCTGGCAAAATCATCTGTAACTCGGTTGTGCAGAAATAACTTCGGCCTATGACTCATAGTCTTCCTTAGATGTCAAATTCAGGTTCAGCAAAAGGAAAAAGGAAGAGATCAAATTGCATTTAGTTCTAAACCAGTGGCTGTTTGGGTACATCTGTGCAACTCTAGAAATAATAAGGAATTATTATTGCCAATACCAAACAGAAATATACTTCATGGAACATTGGTGTCTGACAATGATTAACTATTATTAACAGTTATCAAGAAGCTTGTAACCCATTGCTGTAAAACCGTTTGTTCAGACTTACAGCTTTTAATCTGAAATGTATTCATAAAGTAGGTGGTATTGGAAATAAAGAGGAAGAAGGAGAGGGAGCAGACTACAGTACCACAAGAAATAACACACGGTGCTTATAGTCATATTTACACAAAGATCTGGAGTTCTGATTCTAGCTTCTAAATATGTGCTAGGTGGAAGCTGCTTGGATTCAATTCAAATAGCAGTGTGGGTGGGATAGTGTTGGCTTCGGCATACAATGCCCAGCCCCACCTGCCTTCAGTGATTGATTCCCATGTTGTCTCAAGCGTGTCTCTCTTTGTTCACAAGTGAACTAGTTCAGAGGGACCTCAAGTGTGTGTACACAGGGAGCAGTGCACATACACCTGTACTATTTTCTGTCTGACGGTCTTAGAATGCTTTGAAAATACTTGTTCAAGTAAAATGACTGTTGAAAAACTGCTGGCACCTAAATTGTGAAACTATGCACTGTTTGAAGCCTTGAAGAACATGTGCATCTTTCCAGCATCCTGGCAGAACCCGTCAGTGGTGTGAAAGTATGCTGATAGTGTGCCGTTTTGCTCACTATTTGATCAAGTTTTTCTGTGTCTCTGCAGCAGTTGTGATCCTTGGTTGTACCCGAACACAAGGAAAGCAATTAGTGCAGATGCACTGTAAAACACACTATTTTGTTTGACCATTGTAATGGTTTAACCTCAGCCAGCAACTAGGACCTCACAGTCATTCACTCCCTCTGTCTTCTCCCAGTAGGGTAGGGAGAGGGGGGAGAAAAAGGAGAGGGAAAAGGACCTCATGGGTTGAGATGAAGACTGTTTAGTGGAACAGTAATGGATTAGAAAAAAAAAAAAAAAAAGGAGAATGATAAAAGAATACACTAAATAACATGATGCAACACAAGTCAGTGTCACCACCCAATGATCGGTTGTCCAACCTTTTTGCAGAAATTTGCAGAAATTGCAAATTTCTGCCTCCCAGCCAACCCTCCTTTATATACCAAGCATGATGTCTATGGTTTGGAACAGTCCTTTGGCCAGCTTGTCCTATCTATGCTACCTCTCAGCTTCTCTGGGAAACTGCAAGTGTCCTTGACTTACTATAACGATTATTTAGCAACAACTAAAATATGTTATGATCAATATTCTCATACTAAATCCAAACCACTGCAGCTACTAGAAAGAAAATTAACTCTACTCCAGCAGAAACCAGGGCCGCTCTGTGTTTAGAACAGCTTGATCTGATCTTAATTGCCTCCAACTCACCTCCCCAGCAACTGGGAACCACCAGGGGCCACAGGAGAACAAGTATCTGCTTTTTCCAGCCAGGCCTTAGATCATGGCAGCAACAAGGGTGTTGTAATGCCTCCACCTTCTGGGTGGTGTGGCAGGAGTTCAGTGGCGAGTCACCATCAGCTGTTGAGCACCTTGCATTTGCAATGCCACTGGAGGATTCTTCTCCTGTTTTGGGGAGAGGGGATTCTCAAACAGTCTTTTCTATTACTGCCAACTTCAGTTTTAAAGGCAGAATTTGTATTTGTTGTGCATTGCTCCCCTCAAATTCCCCCTTGGTTTTTTAGCTCTCAGTCTGCCCCCTGTGAGACTGGTGGTGGAGACACCAATTAACCTTGCAGTTGCTTTACCAGAAATGGATTTCTGATCCTTCTGGTCAGGTATTGGAAGCATTAGTTCATTCAGAAACTGACTTCTGGCTTGAGCTGTCAGAAGAGTGCAAATTCTACCACCTAACATACTTTTTCACTGCCCCAAGATACTGAGGGTGCTTAAACTGAAAAGAAACGGCACTAGTGCTAGCTAGATGAAGCTGTGTAGGAATTTAAAGGGAAAATCTATACAACAAGAGCCAAAAGAAGAGTGGCGAGATATTATTATTGTGTGTGGCATTGGTTTATGATCAATACAGCCTCTTGCCCATTTGTAGAGGTAATTCAGGTTTTCAAAATGTAGAACTAATTGTTTCATAAATGAAAAAATGAATTACCTTCAGATCAAAAAAATGCAGTTGTTTGAGTGCTTGGTAATTGTTTTTGTCTAAGGCTAATTACTACTGGCTTTGTGCTGTGGCTAATAATAAACGAGTTCATGGAACATTAACTCACGCTTATGTGCCTTCATTACACTGTTTTAATTCCTGCTATTCATGATTCAGTTCTCACACTTTCTTAAACTTGTATTGCGTGGTACCTTAAAGACCTTTCTTTGGTCTAAAGCTCAGTTTTAACCAGCTGACCTGCATTTTTGTTTAATAATAGTCACGAAGTGCTTCTGATAAAGTCAGACTTTCTTTGCACTGAAGCGAATGTTAAGGGGTAGAAGAGTGTAATAGTTCTGGTAGAAACTACCTCTCAGTACCTTGGGAAACCCTGTTTGGCAAGCAAGCCGAAATTCCTTTTTTGAGCTGGCGTGGTTCATAAATTGTCACCTCTGCTGCTTGGAGAGAAGACTTTACTTCTGTCATTGTTCCTTGTATGTATGGGCCATCTTCTCTGCTATTTTGCCTAGCAAATCCAGACACACCTCCAGGCTAAATCCTGCAATATTTCTGCAGGAAACACTCAGCACTGTGTAACATACACATGGCAGGCTTAACATTACAGGTGCCCCTCCCAGACACAGATCCCCAGATATCTCTTTGCTGTTTCTGATTGTTTCCAAATCCAGACAGTTCCATTCTCACATTTCTGCTGAATCTGCAGCAAAATGAATCTCTGCATTTGTTTTGGTGTGTAACAAAATGATGGCTGTTCGCTTACTCATCAGAGGGGCTCTGCACCTGAATAAACTGGTGTTTTTCTCATGTTTAAAATATATATTTTAATGTCAAAGCAGTCACTGTGGAAGTAAAAAAAAAAATTCTGAGTCAAACCAGCAAGTGGATCAAAAGAAAAAATGTTTACAAATGTTCTCAGGCAAAGGTATTATTCATTTACTTATCTTCTTTCCCAGTGCTTTGAACTCTTCGTGTAGAGGCAGGAGGGAAAAGCCCTAATTTTTTAAGCTCATTAGCTTTAACTAAAGTATTCTGTGTCCTCATTTATTTTAGTAGAACCAGCTTGTCAAATAACTTAAAACCTAAGTAATTGAGGCTTTTTATTTTCCACTAATTCCAGCAGTTCAACACTGTGCTCAGTTATCTGTTCTCTTCCTTTTGAGAAAAGAAAATGAAAAGTCTAGCTGTCCCCAAGAGCATTTTGATACACACATGCAGATACATGCATGTGCATGCTTACTTTGCACACAAGCTGATGGCATCCTGGAACTGAGAAAGAGACCAAAATTGGTTATTGATAATCCTCTTCGGGATCAAAAGCCACTTGTGCTGATTAAGAATTGTCAATTGGGGATTTCTTGCAGGGCAGTGTATGTTCTTCTTGCATGCATCCTTGCTTACACTCTGTTCCATCAATTGTTCCGTTGTACAGTGGTCTGGATTAGTAATGAATTTAGGAATAAAGAAAGGGAAACCAGGCACTGGCTGCTGCAAGTTGGGGTTATGGGCATAGCACTTGTGTGGATTGTGCCCTGTGGCTCCGCTTACAGGTCTGAAATAAGCATTGGAGAGATATCTCTGGCAAGATACAATGCTTCCTCAGAGGATTTTATTTCTGCCCTTGCTCTCTCTCCCAGGGAGGAAGATGAGTATTCAGAGCTGCGGTCGGAGCTCAGCCAAAGCCAGCATGAGGTTAACGAAGACTCACGCAGCATGGACCAGAATTCTGTTTCGGTACCAGAGAATCAGTCCACCATGGTCACTGCAGATATGGGTGAGTAATGCTGCTTAGTAGACGTGATGCCTTCTCACAGCAGAAAGGCAGCCTAGCCTTTGAAATGCAAATAAAAATGTTTGGCGAGGAAATAAGTGAATCTAGTCTGTGTTAGTTGCAACAGATGCTGAACTTCTCCTTAACTATAACCTTATATGTGAAGTAACCTCTATGCCTTGATGTAGAGTAGCTACCGAGTATAAGTGGAATGATTGTTCAGGAGAGCTCATGATTTCTGGGAAAGAAGAGTGGGGAAAAAAGCTAGTCACATATTTTACATGAGCCTGTAAAGTAGTTTAACTCTAGAAAAGAATTGCAGACAGAGTAAAAATGAACTTAAAAGTTAAAATTAACTTACCAGGCAGAAAAAAATACTGAATTTACAGGAAAAATCCCACAACTTTGAGGATAATAAAATCAGGATAATAGGTTCTGAATGGCATAAAGAAAACCAAGAATGTAATTGCATAATATCTGAGCATATGGTGTCTTAAAATGTTGTCCTTCAGAAAAGAGAGGTTTTTGAAGTAAGAATAAACAGTACAGATAAGTAAAGGGAGTGTTATTTGTCAGATAACTCATGATTTCAATCGATGTGGTTGTGCTACTTAAGCCTGTCAGCTGGTGAGGAAAAAGTGAAGGATTGCAAGGACATTGCTTGGACAATATCATCCCGAGCTTTTTCTGCAGCAGGCACTTCCTGGGTTAGAGTTTGTTTTTTCACTGAGTCACTAATTGTTGCGATATTTGTTTTGTTTTGTTTTGCTTTCTTTTAGATAACTGTAGCGACTTGAATTCAGAGCTGCAAAGAGTGCTAACAGGTCTGGAAAATGTTGTCTGCGGGAGGAAGAAAAGCAGCTGCAGTTTATCGGTAGCAGAAGTGGATAGGCATATTGAACAACTCACTACCGCAAGTGAACATTGTGATTTAGCCATTAAGGTAAGGGTAACCTTGGGCTCTAAATGTAGCATGTACATTGCCCGAGACACCTGATCACATTCTGTAGTAATAGCTCTTTACTTCCGAAAGTGTCGAAGTACTTTGCAGAAATCAGCGCCAGGTCACAGCGTGTGTTGGGAAAGCAGTAGTACACCTGTTTCACGCTGAGTCCTCCAAGGCCTGGATGTTCAGGCTCAAATCAGAAATGTATTTGTCTTATGCTCATTATGGAGATGAAAAAAAAATGGGGACACTCAGCAGTTAATTTACTTTCTGAAGGTTATCCAGCAAACAAGTTGTCACTTGCTCAAGGTCACACAGCTAGTCATTGACCAGTAACTGAAAACACAATATGTAATACTCGCTGAAATTTGAAGATAAAATGCCATAAACTGTGTGTAAGTTGTGATTTTGCTGTCTTAAAATACGAAGCTAGTATTTAACATAAAGCATGTGTGGTATATTAATTCTGATGAGACAAGCCAGACACAGGAAAAAATAATTCAACTGGTACTTGTATGTCATGGTTTTACTGTGAATGTAACAGAAAAAGAAGAGGGATGCCTGACAGCACATACAATGAACATATTGCAGTTCAGAACCTGAAAGTAAGGCAACCGTAGAGTATCTCACTATATACAGGGAAGAAGCTAAACAAGTTTTTTTGTGTCAGGTGGAAAGGTATCAATGACTCATTTATGTAAAAACAAATATATTGACATTTTGCTCTTAAGTGGAGCGGTCTATGACCGTTCTAGCAGCCTTTTGGCATACTACTGGAAGAGGTCCCCTCTGTCCCTGGTGGTGCCTGAGGAATATAATTTCCTGTAAAGAAATTAATGTTGAGTAGTAGTTTGAAGAACATGGGTATATTTGAGAGAGATAGAGACAAACTGACTTCTGGGACTCTTGAGAATGGTCTTAAAGCAGTTTATTTGAGTGTCTCAAAGGATTAGGGTCAATACTTTGAATGTTACCCAGTATAATCTGGAGTTTTAGGCTTAAGTGGTCTCAGAAGTCAGTATTCACCGAGAGAGATTGTGGATCTTGGAACACAGGTAGAAATTGGTCTGTGTGAGATCCACAGGGGTCTCTGAAGTGAGATGAGATGAAAACTTCTGCGGGAGGACGAGTCCACAAAATGTAAAAATGGCTTCCATAAACTTAATTCTCAAGCTTTTTATTTTAACCCCATTATCTACTGTTGTTTCAAATTAACTGCAGTCAAACTTTTGTAATGATAAGTGACTGTCAGCAGCTTCTTCGTGCTCCAAAATGCAGGCCTTTTATTTTTGTGTGATTTCTTTAGCATAGCCATTTTTGGGGAAAGCTTTTCCCCACTGCCCGTGCTTTAGAGCTTGGGATTGTTTGTGTTTGACAAGTGATAGCATGCAAAGGTTATTAACCTTTCAGTAAGATAGGAATCTGTCTGACAAGCTCCAATTATGTGCTAGGGAAGTGTGTCACCAGTGTGTTTAATATAGCAAAACCTACACGTTGAGCCCCTCTCCGCAATTCCACTCATGGCTGCAGGTCATTTCTCCTTTCCTGCTTCCTCAGACAGAGAACTGAGAGTTTTTTAAAACAGGTGGAATCATAAATGAAAACCTGAAATATTCTGACTGTCTTTTGCTTTGACTGTTGACTTTTTTCTTCACGGGTGGACTAATGCATTCAAGCGCTTTGAATCCCTCTGCTTTGATGGTTACATTTCACTGGGTTTCTTTTAATGCTGTTGCTGGTAAATTTTTTTTGCTTCTTTTATACTGGTCATGTGACCCTAGCTAGCTCAATTGTTTCTGTCCCACAGAGAATGAAAAGACCTTGAAATGAGACTTATCAGATTGTCTGATAAACTGAACAGTTACAAAACTGTCCTTTGTTTAAGAAAATTTCCACAGATTAGGCTGGTTAGTGCTTTGTATATTTTGAAGAGTAAATAACTATTGGCAACAGATACCTACGACTAAAACGCTATGTATTAAAAAAAGATGTAAGTACTTCCAAACATGAGCTGCTTAGAACATGAGAGCAGCTGCCCTGGGTCTAATCAAAAGTCTGTCTCTCTAGTGGCAGATGCCAATGGAAAAGGTGACATCAAAATGGACGTGCATAGTATGTCCTTTTTCTTTCTTCAGAGGTGCTTCCAGCAAGGTTTATGAACTTCTTGGGCCAGAGAGGATGTCTTTGTGTTTAATAGTCATGGGTGGAATTTTCTTCCACGTTTGTATCTATTGTGTTTCTTAACCTATCTAAGTTTTTGGTCTCCATAAAGTCTGGTAGGAATAAATCCTACTGTTCAGTTATGCCTTGTGAAAAAGTGCCCCTTTTTGCTTCTTTTAAACCTGATACTTGCTGATGTCATCTGTTGTCACATCTGTAACACAGCCCTTCTTCTCAGGAAACTAAGGCAGAGAGTACTGATGGCAGTGTCAGAGACAAGACTGGAATTACCATGATAGGACATCCTGCCCTGTGCTCGGAATGCTACATTGTAATTCAATCCTATAATCCATGAAATTATACCTGAATTTATCTGCAGCACGCTGGATTAAACTGCGCTGTAATACTGCTTTGAAGAAAAATGAACAACCCAGCAGTTTACATAGATCTATCCATGTACAATATTTATGTTTTATTTACTGTGGTGGATGATAGCATGTTGGTCATCAAACTGGAGAACTGTGGTAATAGTTTAGTCAGCAAAAGGGTATTGATCAAAATGAAGGAGCGCAGAAGCAAGCAGAAAGCTCCCCCAGCTTTGTTAATTGATATATGCAGCCATTAGTACGACTGTGAGACCTGTGCTGGTGCTGCCACTGCCTGGACTTTGTACTTGTGTGGGCAGATGGTAGCAATGGAGTCTGGAGAACCAGCAGCAGCTTCTCTGTCTGAAGATACCTCCGTGGTGTTGAGCCACTGCTGCTGCATCCTCATGACAGTCCTTCCTCTTTCCATGTTGCTCCAGGCTTATCACCCCCAGTAGTGCTCTGGGGAGGGGAGAGGCTTGGGAAGGGAAGGGGTTGGACAAGCAGCAACCCTAGGAACATGGGGAATAAGAGGGAAGGAGGCTGCAGCAGAACTTGCATTAGAGGGGTGAGGAAACAGCAGGGGAAGTATATGTGAAAGAGGAGTTTTGGGGGAAGAAGGGAGAGAAGACAGCATCTGAGATGCACAGTTTAAAATAAAGCTGGATCATCAAGAGACAATGCTCCTGCCATTACAGAGCTTTTCTTCACATTGTAAGATTAACTGCCTTCTGCCTATTCAAAACTTGAACTCATCACCATGTTGCATTGAAATAACTTACCTTCTCATAGTTTGAGACCTATGGGTCCAAGTGAAGCTAACTTAAGGCTCCTTTCATCTTACAGAGATGTTGCAAGGCATTGCTCTTTTAGAAAATCAGTTTAGACTTACTACTAAATATGTAAGCAGAATTATAGTGTATATATTTTGTCAATGGAGTTTTATATTTATGACCCTAAACATATTGCAGTTTTAGGGAAGAGAGATGTGAAATAGGATTTGAAAGGATAAACTGAACCTGATTGCGAAAGTTTTGTTCCTGCTTCTTCCATAGAGGCATCTTGAGCTAGTTGTTCAAAATAGTTTTTTTTTCCTTTTGTATGTCTTCTCCTTCTCGCTATGGAGTCTTGCTGTAGCCGAGATTTATTCTTTAAGATTAATGTATTGATAACAATAAATAACCAACTTTTCATTATGTCACTGATAGGTGACATATTTTATTTGCATATAAAACTTCCATCTGCTTCGGTGCTGGTCAGTATGAAATATTTCAATTAAATGGTCAAACTATCAAACAAAATAAGCAGTAATAATTTTTTGTATTACTTACCAAACAAAAGAAGCAAACTAATGGTGGTGTGGGGCTGGGTGTGTACATATAAGTATATACAGTTGCCTGTTGCATGCTTCTGTCCTGTGTACCGTTGGTCTTGTCCAGTCATCTTTCTCTGCTTCTTTCTGGTTTCTGATGACTGTGTTTTTGCAGACTGTAGAAGAGATTGAGGGTGTTCTGGGACGTGACCTGTATCCAAATCTATCTGAAGAAAGATCTCGATGGGAAAAGGAGCTCGCTGGCTTGCGGGAAGAGAATGAGAGCCTCACGGCCATGCTGTGTAGCAAAGAGGAGGAGCTGAACAGGACCAAGGCCACCATGAATGCTATTCGTGAAGAAAGGGACAGGCTGCGCCGAAGGGTAAGGCTGCTGCATAGATGATGGCTGCTTCTTCATCCTAGCCTGTATAATTTTGTCACCAGAACAAACTTCTCATAATCTTGCTTCCTGTACTGGCTAGAGGGCTTCTTGTTTTTAAAGCTGAGCTATTCAAGTTGCATAACTGGGACAAAACTGAACATAATTGAAAAAGAGTGTGTGATGAACAGCCAAGGTGTACAACAACCTGATGTCAGAAATCATGTGTTAACAGAAAACCTGATATTCATCTCCAAAGAAGCAGATGTAACTTGTCTATAGAGAAAGCAGATGTTCATTTAGTGAATTTTCCTGTGAGGCTTTTTTTTTTTTCCTGTAAACAACAAATATTTCTTTGTTTTTGATGGTAATTCAATTTGTGACTAGGAGAAAGAAAAAGAGCAATTACCCCTGTCAGTGGGTAATAATTCTCAGCCCTGAACAATGAGTAGTCCCAGCCATGTCCTGCTTCCCTGTCTACATTTTATGGTGCTGCAAGGTCAGATAAAGGCCTCATGCTTTGTGTGGTGTCCAAATTATTAAAAAAAAAAAAAAAAAAAAAAGAAGTGGTAATTTGTTCACAAAAAAGACGAACGATCCAAGAGAACATGACTTCAATCTCTGTTACTTTTAAAATTTGGTAAATTTGTCCTTATCAAATCTGCAGAGTTTCAGCCAGATATGAAATAATTTTGTTTTAAAACAGGCAGTTTCAAGTATATGTTCAATTATGTTCAAAGAATTCATGCTGACAGCCAGGAACTCCTCAGTTGAAAAAGAGAAAAGGGGAAAGAATTGGTGTTTGTACCCTCAGGGATCAGCGTAGCTGACCCATTGATGCATGGTGGCAAATTCAGTCCTACTATGTAGGACTCATGGAACAGATCATCCTGAGTGCCATTATGCAGCGCATGAAGGAAAGGCTGTGAATGTTGTTTACCTGGACTTTAGCAAGGCCTTTGATACAGTCTCCCATAGTATCCTCCTGGAGAAACTGGCTGCCCATGGCTTGGATGGGAATACCCTCCGCTGGGTTAAAAACTGGCTGGAGGGCCGGGCCCAGAGAGTGGTGGTGAATGGAGTTAAATCCAGCTGGCGTCCAGTCACGAGTGGTGTCCCACAGGGCTCAGTACTGGGACCCGTTCTCTTTAACATCTTTATCAATGATCTGGACACGGGGATCGAGTGCACCCTCAGTAAGTTCGCAGACAACACCAAGCTGGGTGGCAGTGTCGACCTGCTGGAGGGTAGAGAGGCTTTGCAGAGGGGTCTGGACAGGCTGGATCAATGGACCAATGGGATGAGTTTCAATAAGGCCAAGTGCCGGGTCCTGCACTTGGGTCACAACAACCCCCTGCAGCGCTACAGGCTGGGGGCAGAGTGGCTGGAGAGCTGCCGGGCAGAAAAGGACCTGGGGGTGTTGGTCGACTGTCGGCTGAACATGAGCCAGCAGTGTGCCCAGGTGGCCAAGAAGGCCACCAGCATCCTGGTCTGTATCAAGAACAGCATGGTGAGTAGGGCCTGAGAGGTGATTGTCCCCCTGTACTCAGCACTGGTGAGGCCCCACCTTGAGTACTGTGTCCAGTTTTGGGCCCCACACCACAAAAAAGACATTGAGGTGCTGGAGCGGGTCCAGAGAAGGGCAACAAAGGTGGTGAGGGGTCTGGAGAGTAAGTCTTATGAGGAGAGGCTGAGGGAGCTGAGGTTGTTCAGTCTGGAGAAGAGGAGGCTGAGGGGAGACCTTATCGCGCTCTATAACTACCTGAAGTGGGGGTGTAGAGAAGCGGGGGTCGGTCTCGTCTCCCAGGTCACAGGAGATAGGACAAGGGGAAATGGCCTCAAGTTGCACCAGGGGAGGTTTAGATTGGATATTAGGAAATATTTCTTCACGGAAAGGGTTCTCAAGCGTTGGAAGAGGCTGCCCAGGGAAGTGGTTGAGGCACCATCCCTAGAGGTGTTCAAAAGATGGGTTGACATGGTCCTCAGGAATATGGTTTAGTGATTTTTTGTTGCTTATTTCTTATTTATTTTTTTGTCAGAGTTAGGTTGATGGTTGGACTAGATGGTCTTTAAGGTCCCTTGCAACCTAGACGATTCTATGATTCTATGTACCAGATGAGTTACTTCCAGTAGAGATTGGACACACTACATCAAGAGTAGTGAGATCTGATCTGAAATGTTATATTTAGTTCTTATCTCTTATGCTTGAAAAGGTTCAGTTAATATTGGTAAAAAAGATGTAGAAGATGGTCAGAGAAATGGATAGCTTACTTGGAGAAGTGACTTAAAGAGATTGTCCCGTTCAGCTTGGCAAAGCAAAATCCAAATTTGATTTCTCTTTATACGTGCTGGAGAAAGCAAGAGTGAGAGCTAATGCCTTTTCAAACTCAGGGACAAAACTGGAGCAAGAACAGGTTAATATAAATCACTCACAGTTCAATTAGGCCAGAAATTAGACTATGTGGTGTCTAACAGAGAAGAGGCTTCTGGTTCTGAAGAAGTAGTAAGAGGTAAAGGCAACTGACTGACTACTTTGAAAACAGAGCTTTAAAATAGTGAAGTTATGTTGGTATAATGAGATGTATTGCTATACAGGGCTACCTATTAAAACAAGGATGATTACATTAGGATTGTGTCTAAAGGAAGTTAAAAAGGCGTACTTTCAATTGGCCCAGTTAATACAGCTGCATTAATTCTAGAGCTAGCCTTATTACCTCTGCACAAAACTGTTAACTTTTGTCTGGCTGCCAGGAGCAGCAGAGGGTTGGGTTAGATGATGAGGAAAATGATGTTTAGTTCTGTGAATGTGGATACTGCATGACTTAGTCACTCTGTTGGAATCATGAACCAGGCGTTTGTGGAACCACACAAGTAATGGCTCTGTTGTTGAGTATTTCACAGTTTCCTTAGTGTAGGCAAGGCCTAGGACTGAAAGGAGAGTGTGTCAATCATGCTGATGTAGCAGTTGCTGGTCCCTCTGTTGAAATGCTGCACATGCTCCTGTTGGCTCTCTGTCATGGAAGCATCTCTGGTGGAAATCAAATTGAGGTCATCAGCTTGCTTTGTTTAAGTGGCTAGAGCAACTGCAGGATGACAGCAGCAGTGGGATGTTACTGACCCAAATTGTGTTCAGACCACTGACCCTGGGCAGGGGAAGCCTCGAAGTGCTCTGTAGAGACTGGGAGCTGTCTTTTGCATACAGCAAGCCAGTTTAAATGTTCATTCTTCTTTAATTAAGGAGGCTCTTCTTGGACAGACTGGGTAGATGTCTTGCCTAGTAGATGAAGGGTTAATGTTGCATTGGCACAAAGCATAACAAAATCAAGCAGCCTCTATATTCTCACACAGCTGGCAGGTTGGGCTTTTTTTTTTTTTTGGTTGTTTTCATTTAGTTTGCAGCTATACAGGACTTTATTGAAATATGTTTTTTAGCATCATCCTGACCTTGCAGAGCAACTGGTTTATGGCCCCCACCAGAGAAGTTTGTTCATGGCCTATGACCCTGTCAGCAGCACTATGTAATTGTTGCACTGGAAACCCTATTTGCATTTTTAATGTAACTTTGTGACCACAGTTGCAACAAAATAAATGTTTTCTTTGACCTATTAAATATTTTCTATGTGCCGCCTGGACTCAGAGTCACTTCAGATTATTTCCCTGGAGAGTGGGAAAGGAGATCCAACTAAAATTTAGTTATTGTTCTTCTCAAATTAAATTGGGTGAAGTGAATAAGCTTGAAGTTGACCAGATCAATAGGTCTGTTACTTTAGACCAATGTCTGTAATCAAGCAGAGTGCTTTCAATACATTTTTCTCAGGCTTGTTGGAGATTTAATTGAATTAGGTATTTATTGTGCTCAGTTAACAGATTGAGCCGCTTTCTAGAAGAGTAGCTAAGAAATACCATACATAGGGAGCTTGTTTCTTACGAGTCATTAGTAAATGAGGTAATCACATATTTCTGTAGGGTGCCTACAGTGTAGCAGCTAATTTCATAACACAGAGGTTTGTTTTACCTCTGCATGATGTTGCCATATTAAAAATAAGATCTATTTAAGCCTGGGCCAGTTAATGCCCTAGAAACTGCTTACACATAGCTGACCATATTCCTGAAGTCAGTAACACAGATAAGATGCTGGGGAACTTCTGTACCAGTTCATGGGATTAATATTTTTATTACATGAGAATAAGGTTGTAACCAGGTCAGCACTATTTACAGCTTCTGTATAGTAGTAACAGGCTAAAATAGTAGTAGAAAAAGTAATATTTGTGTTCCTACACAGAATCTCTTGTATCCACCAGGGGAGCAGGATGTGCAGCACTAACACAGCATATACACTCCACCACAGCTGCAAAGTAAAAGTTAGGGGTTTGGGTATTTTTTAGTTACTGCCCATAAAGTTGCCAGATGAGCAGTGCCTCAGCACGGCCTCAGGCAGCCTGTTGGCACCAGGAGCAGTGGGTGTGGGTGGCGCTGGGGCTTCCCGGAGGCACTTCTGAAGAACCAAGTCTACAGTGAAAAGGCTGTTCCAGCTCTGGAAGTCTGTTAAGTCTGTTCTCTGCATAAGCCGTGTGTCAGCTTGTTCAGTTAATCAAATGCTTTTAGTTATGAGGATTATTCTGTATCTGCTCCAAACTCAATTTACCCAACTGACCAGAACAAAACCAGACTTAATATTTTAGCTATCTTTGACTTAAGACCTTCCTGGAAACATAATGAGCAGAGGAGTAGAAAAGTGCCCTTTTGATGCATGATCCCTCCAGCTGCCAGATTGCCCCCATTCCAGGAAATTTCATTTTAGCATGAGGGCTCTCCCAAAATACCTTCTTCTTGTAAGGCATTGAAACCTACCCAAACCCCAGCAGGAGTCAGGTCCTTGGCCTCGCAGGCATTCTTGAGCCCCCCACTGTTCTCAGATGACACAAAACTGGCACAAGCTGCTCGACTGTCCTTGTTTTGATGTCATTTGTGTTGGGATCATAAGGTGTAGTTCCAGATTGCTG